AAGAGCCTGCCAGTTTGCTTACCTGTCTTTCCCCCCCCCCCCCCGCCAAGTGATGGGAGAAGTTTGTCTTTTTGTAAAAACAAACATAGACGAGACACATACTGTCCCTAGCATCTTTCCTGAAAACTGTAGAACCATCTTGGCTAAAGTTAAAAGGGGGAAGAGATCAGCTGGTAACACGGGATACAGAAGACAGAAACTGTAGCCCACTCTGAAAAATGTGACAATATTATATGCAAGGGGAAAAGCAGATCAGCATTTCTCACTGTACGTGTTGCTAACCTTTGGCAAGGTAACACACATCTACATCCAGAAAACAATAAAGGATCACCTCAAAGGAATAAACCCATGGATCCTTACCTGCAATTCTTTTCAAATATATGGGGCTGGGTACAGATTTTTCATGCTGGATCTAGAAAACAATACTTCTTATTTCTTGATAAGTTTTTTCCACAACATTAATGATATCTCCCAATCCACTAATAAAGCATATATAAACCCTTGTACTTTTTTTTTTTATAGCAGAGTCGTCGGTGGAGAACTGAATCACAGGTAAAGGAGGAAGCCAGAATTCTTGCTCTTCTCTACTTACTACAATTATTCCCAAGTTTAAAGAAGGTAAGCAAATAAAAAGGAGATAAAATCTTCTGTCCAACAGACAGAATTGTACTGGAATTCAGGCCTGATATATCTCCTTTTGTGCTGAGGAATTAAACTCATTTGAAGTTTTCAGGTGTACTGTATTACTGAAGCTTAGAATAAAACTTTTGGTGAAAGAACGATAATGACTGGCAAAACTAAGCTATCTACCCAATCATGCAACCATGATTTTTTTAAACTGATGATATAAATCCCACTCCATATATCAAATGCTGGATATAACATGCTCTGCTAGCTTAAAAAGAGATATAACATTGATGAAATATACTTTTAATTTTAAAAAATTAAGAGAAATCTTGCCTCATGCTCCCACCCTCTCCAACTCCCAACGGTGGTATAAATGGCAAAGTTCCTATTTTTTCCTCTTAAGTGGTACAGCTACAATGTGCTATCAGACCTCACATTATGTAGAGCAATAAATTTTATATGCGGCAACAAAGACCGCATGAGTATACCTGAGAAAAACTGAATGGGGGTAACCTGGCATTCAGGCTGACGCATATGAATAAAAGCCAGTTCTTGTAGTGTCAATGACTGCAAGCTGTCATTTTGCTTTGGTTCCACTGTCCTCATCCCACTGGGTATTTGTGTACAGAGAAAGGCGGAAGCACAGAAACTCACATGTGAAGCTCATTAGCAGCACACACAGCACAGCACTGGCTGTCACCCTTAGTAGCACTCTGTCTAGGCTGAACTCTCACACTGTCACCTCAACATCTTTATCCACTGCAAGGAAATCTATTAATTTTGTCTTTATAGGCAGATGTAGATGTTTCCCTAGGGATACTGACTGGATCTGGAAAACAATAGCAAAGCTCTCTACGATTTTTACAATAGCTTATGCCAATATAACAGAATTTTACAAGCACAATACTAGTTTTGGTTTTCAGAGTATTTTTTATTACTGTTTCAGTTGTATAATTCCAACATTAGGGAACAATACATAATATACAGTACAGAGCTTATGTTGTTCCCAGGTTTTAAAGTCACGTATGTGTCAAGGTTCAGGCTGCAGAACAGAGTTCACCGTTCCTAAAATGAAAGCAGGCACATATAACACTTATCTTGCCGCAGCATTAGCGCAATCTTGTTTGGCAAATACAAGATTAAGAACACCACCTGCCATTAGGATACTACATGTACCAACGGATTACTGACATGGATCCTTATCATTCTGCCCTTCTACCCCTATAGCATTTGTTCACATCAAAGTGACATCACTAGAAAAATACATTGTTAAGCAGTTCACTCCTTGGTTTTAAAAGTTAGTGAAAGGGTACAGCTAGAGAAGCACCTCACAAAATGAAAGTACAAATCTGATACATATTTTGCATAGTTAAATTTATGTCAGGATAAACTTAGGTCTCTGGAATTTTTTTTTCTTCCAGCCTTTGAACTTTTGCTTTGAGCTGAACAGCTATTCAGAACGCTCATTCAGTGTTTCACACCACCCAGATACCTTTCGATTTCTTTGGTTACTTTCTTAACATCTCTTAACCTCTTTTTATGCCTCCTACAGCAATACACTGTTCCAGACATCCACTCCCTCCCTTTGGCTACTCCTATTTATTTTCTTCAGCTTTTCCCTTCTCTTCAGTCATTTCCACTCTTCTCTTACTCTTCTCAACATCTCTGGGCTCTTTCTCACCTTCAACCATTCTGATTTTCTCTTGATAAAGACAAAATGCCACAGTCGTCTTCTTGCATCCAGTTACTATTTGCAATACCACTTCTAAATCCTTCAACCCTCTAAGGGCTTCATTCTTTCTATATTTACACATGGACGTAACCCCAATAATTCTGATGGTTTTACATGCAAAGTGACAGATGAAAATCCAACCTACTGCCTTAAATCATAGAAGGAAAGAAAAGAGAGCTAATAGAAGAAAACAGAATGAAAAATTAAAATCTCAATGTAATAGTGCACATTCCCTCTCTTGAACTTGGGGGTTTTTCCCCTCTTGGTATGGAGCTAAACATCTTTACAGGGTGTCAACTTACCGTTGCACTTTTCTGTTACAATAATATTCAACACATTTGATCACATTTCCTTCTTTAATATGTTGATGTGGGTTGTTCTAAATTCCCACTGTTCTCTGCTAAATTCTTTTTAACTAGTGCCAGGCATCAGGAAAAATCTGCCTCCTACCTGTTGACACCAAAATGGAAGAGGGAAGAAAATTCACATGCACCCCACATAATGCAGAGGTTGCTGTGATAACCACACTTTAAAAAAAAATGTTATAGGGCAGCCTGGATCAGTGACTGTTACAGCCGGAGTGGTTTTGCAAGCAAGTTTTGCACCCCTACTGGGTACAAAATAAAAGCTGTTCTTTCTTCACAGTCTCTTAGACTTTTAAGTCAAAGGCAAGTAAATTTTATTTCTGATTGTCTGCAAATTATTTTTGCCTGTAATTGTAACTTTCATCTCTGTTGCTATTACAGGTTTGGGTTTGTTTGGTTTGTTTATGTTTTTTTCAATGTTTTGTGGAAGTTGAACAAAACAAGCCCACGGTTCAGTAGCACAGGGAGCCAAGCCATGTTTTGTTCATTTGCCCCAGTCCTAGTACTGGCAACAGGTAGGAACATTACTACAAATAGACAGAGACCTCCTGTTTTCACACAGATCTGCCTGAGCACAGTACACCATTCAGATTTTAAGTCTGCACACAAGCTGATTATTTGCGTACATTAAGAACCACTTTGAGTAACTGCACGTATTTTTAGTATGGCTTTAGGCTTATTTTTCTGTAAGTTAAAACATTTAAAAAGAAAATACTTCATAAAAAACACTATACAGTTTGAGATAAGCTAGTGCTCGTGAAAAGTGCTATGTTAATAACTTTGGAAAGTGCAGCCCTCCACATAGCCAAAGAACATGGACAGCAGTGTAAGCATCTCGGATCTGCCTGCAGCAGTTGAGGTGCCAGCATGGGGAAGGGTGGTTAGCCCCTAGTTTGATTCTCTGTGAACATACACAAGGATACCAGTTCTGGAGCTAATGGTTGCAATCTGAGCACCTGTCAGTCACAGCACGACTGCTCACACTAACTTAACCCGACATACTGTAAAACCAGCTACCAGTTTTAACAACTTTATTTCTCCCCTTCTTAGTCAACTTTGAATCATCATCCTTGAGGTAGACAACCAGATATTCCAATATGCTTTCCCTGCACCTTTCAGTATCACATATTTCAAGTAAAAAATATCTATTTTCAAACACTGTAGCTAGTGATTTCACTTCTGCCTACAGTGTCATCCATACTGTATCATGTCTGGAATGAGCTCTTTTGTATTACATTTGATGCTTTACATTTCAAAGCACATCCAAAAATCGGCTAAATAAGGATTGCATTAAACCCTATTAATAATAGTATATGGTTATAATATAGTGTGTGTATATATATATAATATCTGTATAGTTTTATGGCCAAGTTACAAGCCCCTGAGAACAGAGTTTATGCAGAAACACTGGCACCAATAACATTAGTGGATGCAGCTTTATTTAGATGTAATGAGCATAGAAAGCACCTGAAATTATTTATATTTTCTATTTATAATAGATGAACTCTTTGGATATTTTCATAACTATCTTTCATGGTTTAACCTGACATACCAGGTCGGTATTTAACGAGGGGGAGGGAGCGAGCAGCTGTATGGTACTTAATGCTGTATAGGGTTAAACCACGACACTATATTAGGAATACATTTGTTAATCTTAACATCCATTGTGGGAAGATTATACTTACACACAAATACATGAAGACTTGATGCTAAAAGAGCAAGAAGGGAAGAAAATAAGGTGCCTGATCCTGTGCCCTTATATACATGGGCAGTGCCTTCCAACCAACTCATACGAGGGTGGGTCCCATGTTTGAATAAAGTTACAGTTTCAGGTCCATAATGCATATATGATTTTGACAAATTACTATTTAAACTATTTTTACAAATACATTCTACAGTAACTGTGTCTATGGGCTCAGGCATCTGGCCCTGAGAAACATGAAGTCTGTCCCCTTCATTTTGTAAAATTTACCAGCCGGGGCATATGTCTAGAACAAGCTGCTTTTACAACTCTGCAGTGAAACACACCTCTGTGCCTATCACAGGATACTGTCCCTCAAGTGTCCCAGTATTCATTAGGCCCCAGCATGAACTGTTGCTTTTTCACCTATTATAAGACTTGGACAAGTGAGTCCTGGTGAAACTGTAACAGGTTGCTTAAAATGCAAAAGCCGCCAAAACCCGATTCAAAATAAAGCTGATTCCAGTTTGTCACCCAACTTGTTTGTGCTTTTATATCTACCTACAGATGTTGCTGTCCAAAAAAAGAGACTTCAGTTGAAGATAACACATTACATCATCTGTGAAAATGAAACTGTACACTTTTCAGAGTACAGAAACTTCTTATATTGGCTACATTCTTCATTAAAGTTGTTCTCTCCTAACACTGTGAGTACAATCTTGGCTTGCAAGATGTTTTAGAAGACAAACTAAACATGTTTGCAATACTTTGACAGAAAAATTGAATTATTTCCAAACTGAAAGAATATGAGTTTTGATGTTAATAATGACAAAGTTTTTGTAGGTAAATGTGCAAATTTGTGTATATTGCTTCCATGCATTTTACACTGCTACCGACAGGGAATTTCAAAGCATCCTTCATTTTGATGTGATTTACCAGTTGAATAGTACATTTTGACCAAGAGTCATAAAGTATATTTGGCTGCTGCCTCCTGACTGTACAGATGCAAAGAACACCTTGAAAGGGGGGAAAAAAAAAAGAAGCTACTGTCAGTTTACATTTACAAGAATATTTTTACCCATACAAGAAATATGAGAGAATGCCATAGTCCCAAATACAAGGATATATATCTCAAAATTCAATCTTAATCCTATGAGAAACTTTAAGTGAAACCATGCTTGCGGTACAACTGGGATATATTTTCTGGTATATTTATTTTCCTATTTGGAGTGACATGAGAACATCTAAAAATAATTAATTAATTAACAGTTTTGGGGCCTCAGTTTTCTAAACATGTCAGTAGGACTAAGCAGCTTTCACAGAATATTTTATCAAGCACTGCTATATAGAAGAAATCACATGTGATTATCCATACTCTAGTGCCTGCAATATCTCAAATATTAGTGTTTGGTGGGGTTTTTTTTGTTTTTTTTTTTTGTTTTCCCATTATGGCTGTTCTGAATTGCCTTAATTTCAGTAGCGCAGGACAGGCAGTCCTGTAGTTGGACACTATCAGGGCTGGCTCACCAGCTCTCCCCACTACAGCTGTTGTGCTGGAGTCTGGCCCGTTAGCACTGTCTGTATTTGTTATCGCCTCTGATATCAGTTAAGGCTGGGTGGAATAGGAATTATAACAGAACCAGTTAAAGTAGGGTGGTTTCAAAGTGCGGAATATCCATATGAGTGCTTTGTGGGGTCAGTGACTAAATTTGCTTTGAATGGGGAAGTTATACTAAGGTAAGAAATAACCGATGTAAAAACAAAGTGATAAAAATTAAATGGTCTTAGTGTCATAGCCAACTATTATGCATTTTTGCTAAATCACCACACTGTATTCATCTCTGTACCTTGTCATTTCTTTCACACAGAAATTTTAGCTTCTGTGCTTTCTTGTGCATAAATACTCCTTCCAGATTTCCTGTCTCCACAGAGCGTAGTTCAATTGCCTTCTCTCCCCAGCCCATGACCTGATTAGATTGAAGGTAAGCTAAAAGAAAAAAAAAAAAAAAGAAAAAGAAAATTTGATACTATTTAACAGCTGAAAGACTCACTCTTGCCTCATTTATGTCAATACGGATCTGAAGCATTTCTCTTTGATAACAATATATTGTGAATTATTTGTATGTTAAGTTTACACAAAAAGCCCTGGGAACAGTAAATAAATTTCACTTTCTCCTCTCAAACTTATTTTGGACTTATTTTATTATGCTACCATTGTGTATTTTAGAATCACAGAAGGTTGGAGGAAACCTCTGAAGGGCGTGTTGCTTAAGCCCTGCTCCCAAACCAGCGACAAATTAGATAAGGTTACTCAGGACCTTGTCCAGACATGTTTTGATGGATATTTCACAACCTCTCCTAGCCCCTGCTGCAATGCATCACTACTTTCAAATTTCTTCCTAGTACCTAATGGAAATTTCTCTTGGTGCAATTTGTGCCCATTTTGCCTCTCGTCCTTTCACTGTACATGTCCAAGAAAAGTCTTGACTCTGTCTTCTCTATACCCTCCCAGCAGGAAGTTGGGTTTGTATTTACTGTGGAGTTCAGCTTAGTCTGAAACATAAATACTTTTGAATCTGAGACTATGGCATGATTAATTTGGTGTCCTTAGCCATTGTCTTCCCATCACTGATTACATGCAATATCTCAAAAAAACCAAGATCCTCCGCCACTGCAAAGCTTACTATGTTATCCCCTTTAATTAGATGAGAAATTGTAATAATGATGAAGGAGTTAACACCACAGACTTCAAATTAGGCACAGTTTCAATGAAAGCCCTCTGATCAGTGCACGTATGGGCTTCCAAGGTAAAAACACATTAGTTATGCTCTACTGATAGTCAATGCTCAGAAATTGTTCTTCTTGCTTAACTATGAACTGTTATTAGTCTGAGAATTCTGGTGCTCTGAAATGATGTAGATTTGACTGATTTTTAGCTTCAGTGGACAGTGCTTGCCTGCCCTACATTATTAGAGCGAGCAATGTCTGTTCCTTAAAGCCTTCCATGTTGATTTAGATTTTTGTCTAAAATTTAAACTTTCAGTACACACTGATACAGGAAACAACAGCCTGCAATCACACTTCAGGACAGCAGAAAGTAAAGGCAATATGCCTGAGTGACTGTATATCCTCCTTCTAGCAGTTGTTGATTCAACATTAACTTGGAATCCTTACTTTGTAATTCTTGTCAGAACAAGCGTATGACAATTATATCTCCTTGGATGTGTGGTTTGGCTACAATGTTGTGATTTTAGTTCCCTCAAAGTCAATGAATGTACCCTGAAGTCCTCTTCAGTACTGCTCTCCACCCATTCTCTGCCCAGCCTGTACGTGTGCTTGGGATTGCCCCGACGCATGTGCAGGACCTTGCACTTGGCCTTATTGAACTTCATGAAACAACATGGCTATGCTGTTTAGTATAGGTCACATAGGTGCAGCTAATCCACTCATAAGTCTCCTTATCTTTTCCACTACGTGAAATCTGCAATGAAGTTGTCACTGTGCTGTCTGTATCAGCTGTATCCATGTGTTTGGCAGATTTCAATTTGATAACATCCTTGCAGCTCTCAGTAACAGCTTAATGAAGCTCAGTTGCCACCCCTAGGTCATCTGCAATAGAAAACCCTGGACAACTGAACCACTGATCTCCAAGCACTATTACAACAGGAACATAATAAAACAGATATACCAACTTCAGCCACTGATGCTCTGCTGGCCAGCCAATATACTGAGAATTTGCCAACCGATAATGGCAAATTTCAGTTGAAGTACCAGTAGCACAAAAACTCATTATTGTAGCAGAATCAAAAATTCTTTCTCAAATTGCATCTGAGGAAAACATGTCAACCAAAAGGCCCCATTATACCGTTTGTAGGGTTGTCCAGTTATAAAGATTTATCTATACGTGGAAATTAATTTGGAGGATAGCAGGCTGTGAAGTCAAAGGTCTTGAATATCTTCCCATGTGGGAGCACTTACAAGCGTTTCATGTGAAATGAACTGAGAACAGATTAGATAGATATTCAGAATAAATTTGTTTTCCTCCGGAACAAAAGCTCCTATACCACGAGCAACTTAGGAATAGTTATTTTGTGTCCACCTTCCACCTCAACAAGCTTTACATAAAAATATCCTATGCTTTCAGCTGGCAGCATGTATATATTACACACAATGCAAGACTGGACTGGTTTCTAGCAACTCCGGACTTGGACGACAACTCTGGTCCTTTGGACAATAGCTCTGCAGAAAAGGCATGTACTGACACAGACTGACATGCCAATATTGCTTCAGGTACTGGAACAAAGTCATGCAGAGTTAATCTGAAGCTCCCCTGCTTCACCCAGATTACAGCATATTTTAAAAGGCCTATAGTTGTGCATGAGCTATGGTTCCTGTTACACCATTTACACCAGCATTACTCCCTGGACATCAAAAAATACATGCCATAAAGTTAGTACAGCAAAGTGAGCTCAAAATCAGTTTCTTAACATGGTGAAAGCATTAGCAACACTCCAAACTTGGGGCAAGCCTTGGTTTTTCCTGTTTACACTGTGTTAACATCAAGTTGAGCAGAGCCCCCATTGAGAGCAGTGACTGCTTCAAGGGGAAATGGCTGAGGGAGACAGGAAACGTGAAAGAAATTACTGAGCCGTATTGGATCCATTAACTTCTATGAAGTGTCACTGACATGAGCTAATGATCACAGGCTCACACCAGCAGCATAGTCACAGTCTGAATGAGACAAGTGGACTTGGTACTACAGAACTCTGGTACTGCTAATATCTCACTTCCCTTCTTAACCTTTCTTTTCTTTTTAAACTCTTTCTCTTCAAAAATCCCTCTTCTGATCTCATGTACTGAATCTGGCTCACTGCCCTAAGCAGTTATTCCCAGTTGACCTCTGCATGAGAGCAGAATCGGGGCAGCTTTTAGCAAAGTATCATAAAACTGGGCTTTTCTGATTAGTGTTACAGAAATAGGGCAGGAAAAGACCTTAATGCACCTTCGCTTCCATCCATATCTCTGTACTACATCACTATCACTTCTGACACTTGTTTGTCTAACTTGACCTTAAAGACCTCCAGTGATGGAGACTCCAAAAAGTCCCCAGGCAACCGATTCCAGATGAACCAGGAAGTTCGAAATGAACAAACTGAACATGAATTAAAAGAGTCTGACCCACTTTTGCATGCCCAGGTCATGATATCAAACTCCATTTCTCAGGGTAAAGGAGTGTACGTGGCTTTACTGAATTCCTTTCTGGAGACAGTCAGTATGCGCACAGGTGAAATTCAGTGAAAAAAGCAACTGAATTTTGCTTTTGTATACATGTTTGAGAAAATTGCTTCAGGCAAGTATGCAGCTGGGCACAGACATTAAAAGGAGAATATCCAGTGATGACTTTGCTGACAGCAATAGATACCAGCTATTACAGACCATACAGATGTAAAAACTTCAGCAGAACCCTTCTCTGGCCCTTCAGTCAAACCCAGGATGCTCTATGAAATCATGACTTTTATTGGTTCCCACTCTTTGGGGAAAGCATGCTTGTTTACTTATTTTTTAGACAAATGGAAGGGAGAGATGTTGAGGATTGGGAATGCAAATAACCCACAGAGATGCCAACAGTGTCCTGTGATGTAGCCGCTGAAACCCAGCCTCGGTGATGCTGCTGATCACTGATTAGGGACTGATTAGCTACTTGCACCTACTTCTATCTGTTGCTCATGCTTTAAAACTTACTGCCCCCAAAGTTAAGCCATTTTGGGTAGGAAAGCTGAAGGAGTCAGTAACTTCTCTTGTGCAATTCTGTTAAATAGTTTTACTGCTATTATTTATGTTACCTGGATTAAAAGTGGGTATTTTTCCTCCTCCAGTCACAGCTGTGGAGAACTTTTACTAAATGAGAGGCTAGAGAGTCAAAATCAAGAAGGAAAAAAACTAAAGTCACAAATGGACAAATTAAGAAATTGGCCATGGAAGGCAGATGTTTTTCTGCAGCATGTTTTGGTTAAATTGTACTAGACAAAGGGTAACACATATAGTTCCCTAACCACCCCAAAAGCAATCTAGGAATAAAGTTATGACTAAATATTTTTTTTTTACCTAAACATGTATGTTTCATGCATCTCTGTTCCAAAGTTTCTCTGCTCCCAGTTGTTGCTCACTCCTTTGTAATTGTTCCTGTAGAACTGATAAGCCAACCCAGAAATGTAGCTGGGTGACAGTCTGCTTATTTGAATGCTTTTTGCTGTCTCCTGGGGAAAAAGCGCTCAAGAGATCTGATCAACAAGAATTGTTCAGAGACAAGCAGGCATTTTCTGTGCACGAGCTGGACAGCAACTGTTTCAAGAACTGGTAAGGATGTTGATAAGAGCACTGAGGTAGTAATTCAACCATCCTTTAGGAATGCTGTTTCTCTACATAACACCCTCTTTGCTTCTAATATGTACATGGCAAAAGAAATAAGGACTTTTATTGGTTCCCCACTGGGGAGTATACTGGATACTGGGAGTATCCAGTTTCGTGCCAACTCTCTAAGACTATATACTGTAAATAATTCATTGCCCACACAAAAGGGCAAAAGTGCTCCCAAATCATATTAACTTCATGTTTCTTAAACCCTTTTTTAATCCTGTTTTCTAGAAAGAAAATATTACATCTATATTTGTATTTAGCCCTACATATGTGAAATATCTTTCAGATTAAACATAGATGGAGTACTTCTACAATTTTAATTTCCCATGGGGTTTGAGTTTCCTCTCTCCAATTTCTTATTAACAGATAGGTCACAGAGGTCCCAACTTAAAGACTATGGAGTAAGCTATATTTAGACTCCCTGCCCTAAATCCATCAATTATAATACAAATCTTTTTTTTTTTTTTTTTGAGATATTCTCACCAACTACAGAAGTTTTCTTTCAAAATAATTGTTTAAAGAAATTAAGAAATTAGCAATGGATGGATAGAGAACACCCTGAGGTCAACAAGACCCTTCTATCTCTGAGACACAGAGTGAAAACTTTGAGATAATCTCTTAGAGACCCATTTCAGACCTCCTAAGTCTGGAAATTCAAGGAAAACAATCTCTCATGAAACTTTGAAGTTCCCCCTGAGTGTGGCCATGCATATAACACAGTTATTCACACTTCTCTCTTAATGTTTTTGTCTGGAGACAAGAATTTTAAAGGATCAAGTAAATTAATAGGAGCTAGTAGGAATCAATTATTAAAATAATAGTTAGCTCTTCGTTTAAAGTTTGAGTTGTGTGTTGGGTTAATTTGTTTTTAGTGTGAATGTGATTCCAATCAGAAGTCAAATTAATCTTGTACCACATCACAAAGACTGACAATTTCTGTTCCAAAGAAATCCATTTCTGAGGTACCAGAAGTGTTGCAGTAGCAGCAGAAAGCAAGGGTTCTCAAGCTAACATACTGGAAAATTTTCAAATGACAACCAAGAGGAGCTGTTTGGAGACTGCCTCCCTTCAGCTGTGCAATCTGCAGAAGTATAAACAATGAAAGAGATGGATGGAGACAGAGACCTTTCCTTCCAGAGTCAGCTCTCCCAACCTTACCATCCAAAATGTTTCATCTAGCTCACCCTCTGCTTCCTCAGCAGGATGATTCATTATACCTGTCCCAGCTACCTGTCCCTGGATGGGCACCACCTTCCCATCTGGTGCTGCCCATTTCTCTAGACTGACTACAGAGAAAATCTAAACTGTTCACACAGACAAGACTCCTGTATAGTAAAATTCACCAGACGATGCCTCCCTCAGAATCATCTTCTTCATCCTCTTCCTATTTAACTGCCCCAAAATACTGTTACAAAAATGCTTTGGCAAATTCATACTGAGAGCTTTCCATGCAAATGATTATCATAGTGGTGTACTGAGGAACAGGAGAAATAGCTGTACGAGCAAATACAAATGGCAAATGTCCAAATGGCATTCCTTCTATTAAGATGTAATCAACCTTGAGAAACTGAGAATATCATGCCTAGCCAGGTGTACTGAAGGATGTTTTAAATTAGAGTAATTAACTGTCACAAAGGATCGCATATTCAGCTGGTCCAAAGTGGTGAAGCTTTATTCTCTTCAATGCCAGGTGGGTATGCACGAGGAGATTTTTACTGAAGTTAAGGCAGTGTGATTTCCAGGCTACAAGAATACTTTACAAACGTCTCTCTTATCTGTGGTTTGATGATTCAGTACTTTTGTCAACATTTAGAAGGACTTAAGCTCTCTCTGGCCCACTTCTGAGGCACTCCTGCAAACATCATCTAGATTAAGTGAAAGAGCTCTGACAGCCGTCAGTGCCCCATGACACAACCTGCAGATTTCCAAGTGGGAGTCATAGATCTGCAGAACTCTTCTTGCAACACCCCCCTTTCTAAAGCAGGATGTAAGAGAGCCCTTTGTTCCTTATATATCATCCGTCTCTGAAACACACCAACTATCTAGGAACAGTGACTCTTTACAGTAAGAATAATACAACTAGAAAAGCCTGTAATAGTTACAAGTAACATCCATGGTTTAAAATGTATTAAACATGAAATTAGGTTTAATCTCTGGCAGGACATTCACGTAAATGCAGCTGATTTTAAAATTGCTTCTTCCCAAGGCAGGAAAAGAGGAGTTCTAACCTATGAAGTACATGTGGGGAAACAAAGGAGAGTTTACATATTTATGAAAAACATATATCATATGAGCACACATGGATAAGACATTAGAATTTGAAGAAAATGTTAATGTTAAGGAAGCTCTCTTCTTTTAGTAAAGCCTAGGGAAGCATGTCCTCTAACAACATGCTTCTTAAAAGCTTCTTTCTCCTTCAGCAGCACTGGTCAGTGCAGATTCATGTTACGTTCAATACTTCTCATTAGAACTCTTCCTACCCTGGCTGAGTAATTGCTTTTTGATTATTAGTTCTTATGGTGTTTCTAACATTAATTCACAGGGGATGTAAAATTTCAGCAGATCAAAGATCATTAGATATTCCTAAGAAAAATGGAGTATTGACTTGATATATTTTAATTATGCCCTGTGGCTATGAATATGGGCTGAAAATTTGAGATAGGGCTACTCAGGGAAGGGAACACTATATAGTTAGCTTACAACCATATACCCCTTTTTTGAAATTGGTGCAGTTTTGTTGCTGAATTTTATTGAAACAGTGAAAAAATAAGTTGTCTTGTAGCAGTTTGTGTTCCAGAGGTGGGCTTCTTGCCCTCAGTACTGCTGAAAAGCCTCTACAAATGTAGACTTGGTATTTATTCAGGGATGTTATTCTACTGATTTTAATGGAGTTTTCCTAAAACTACCCACCTAGAAGTGAAAGGTGAACATCCTCAATTTTTCACTGTGGCATCCAGTTTCTGCCAAGCTAATAATATGCTTTTGTACAATCTAAGTGTCTTGGGCTTTTTTTATTTGTTAGAATGTTTGTTTTAAGATGCAGAAGAACAGGAGTCAGCCAGAAAAGAAATTAAAAGCAACAAATAATAAAACCAAAAATCTGCCTGTGTTGTTCTCGGTTTTCCCCACACTGTTAACTTGAAGCCCTCTGGGGAAGGTGAAACAAGCATCTGTCCTGGCTGCAGTACAGTCAGAGTCTCCTCCTACAAAGCCAACTGCAAGCACGGAGAGGTTTAGAATCTATGAGAAATACCCAGGGCTGGCAGCATGGTAAGTCTAAAGTGATAAAATTAAGGGGCTACTTGACAGCAGTCACAGACCTCTTCAGTAACTGACCTCTCTATAGTTGTGATTTTTTATATAAGACACTATGGGATATGAACAATCAAAGCAGGAAACAAGACCACCTTTTTTTTTTCCCCCCCCTCTGTAATTCATGGAATTCTGTCTGTGAAAACTGGTGGGAAGCTGCATCTTCAGTGCAGTTTGGCTGTACAGTCGAGGGACGATGCAATAAACAGTGTGGCAAGAATACAAACTGTGATCCAAATGCGAAGACCCTATTGCAATCATTGCCTGTCTTAACACAAGCATACATAAATCTGTTTACCCTTTACATATCTGGTTTGCTCGGAAGCTGCTTTATGTACCATACAACCACTTTCATATGGATACAAACCTCATAAAGAAGTCAGGCTTCATGCAGCAGAACCTTGTATTTAATAAAGGGCTATTTTTCATACTTACCTACAGATGCTGGCATTTCTCCCCACTGTAAAACCGTCTCCTTTGTGAAATGCCCATATATATCAATGTAGATGCCTTCATCTTCATAGGTGAGTAACAGCTCCATTCCGCTGGTGTTCGGGAGGATGATAATGGCATGTGGGCGGATAGTCCCCTGGATCTAGAATCATATTTTACTAAGATTTATATCAGAAAATGGACTGCAATTTTAGTGACTACATCCATCTAACTAGCTTTGGCAGAGCAATAAAAAGAACTAGCTCATGGCTCATGGAAAGTGAAAGAAATGCCTGTTTTCAGAAGGGCTGGATAGTTTGCTAGTGAGCCTCTGAAACAGGCTTTCTCCCCTCCTCCCCCCTTTGAATGTGACAGTAGGTTTGCAAACAAATCAACATTCTACATTTCACTTTACCAGTAATAATTGGTTTCATGGAGCCACTGAGACACAATAATATTTACTTACTCACAAAAAGCTTGCATTATATAAATAGAAGAAAGGTGAAATAAATTTGAATTCACAATTATTTCAGAAGATGGAGGAAGGACAAAGGGTTCCACACTCCAAGAAATCAGTGCTTTCACTTTCCATGATATTTCCCTATCCCCACTCACAAGCTAAAACCAGTAATTTTCACAATATTTACAGCAACTTGAGAAGTGAAAAGTTACCTGGACCCTTCAAATACAAGCCACTCTCTGTCCTTCCCTTCCCACATCCTTCACTGAAAATATTTCCCCATTTAGATGCTGTTCAGCATACATTCTGTGCATGCCCCAGGAACAGTGCATTTCACTCACACAAATTATTTTAACAGCTGCTCAATGTACTAGAATCTCTCCCAGAACTCAACATGTCCCAAGTGAAAAAATAAATATAAAGCCATGAAGGTGGGGTTTTGTGAAAACGTTTTTGAAAAAAAAAAAAAGAGGAGAGCCTTAAAAAACCATAACAAAGCATTTCCTAATTTAAAGCACTACTCAAAACAGGATGTTACATAGTAAATTAAACCACTACAATTAATATTTTTATAGGAAGCCAAAGGAGTTTCTACATTTTCACAAGCCAGCAACACACAGATTTTTTTTCTTCAAGCACATACATTTACGCACACCGCAAGGGCACAATGAACAGTAAAAGAAACACTGAAGCTGTACTTGCCCAACTGAATACACTCAGGCCAACCACTTGACTCCGTGCCTCCGCAACAACTATCCGTAACACTAGAACGGGTATCCAGAGCCGCAGAGCAATTTTAATGCGTTGCCTTGGTACTCGCATGAGCGATCGAAGCAGGTAAGAGATGAAGAAAGAGGTGGGGAACCAGGAAAAGAGGCTACCAGAAAGCAAGAGTATCTACAGTCAGCCTGTTAAAAGTCTGGTCTGTTGCCACCACAAAGCTCCCTGAGAGCATTATCCAGTTCTAGCAGATGCTCTTTAAAATAAGAAAATACCGAAAAAAGAGAGAGCCACTGTAACAGCAGATTTATTTCAAGTCTAAAACTCTAAAGGGAAAATATATTTTTAGTACATGCTAACTTTTGGTTGAAAAACAGTCCCAAATGGAGTCAGCCTTAAAGGTGCCCCACATATTCAGGACAGTCCCCTGGGAAATCTCTCTCATCAGGTACATAATTATATTTGCAGCCTGTTGAAAAACTAAAGCCTCTAAAAAAAGTTCACGTTTTTCTTTTCCTTTCTGTTCTTGGGCAATTATGCTAATGATCTTTTTGACAAGTCATTATTCACCTTGCTTAGCAACCAGCTTCCAGGGATTGTACGCAGGCACCACGCTTCGATTTGTAAACTGATGTGAATTCTTCATATTTGCGTAGTCAGCAAAGCTACTAATTGCCAGATTAAATAAACCCTCTAACAAAACAAATATTGAATCCCTTAAAAAACCCAACACAGAAATCAACATTCCAAGCTTTTAGCAGGCAGTTCAACAGTTTTTTCTGAACAGCTAGAAAAGTTACTTTTTATTTAAGAGAAGTTTGTAAACTTAACAGCCATCTTCAAACATTGTCAGAAACACAGGTCTGACGTGATTTCAAGGCTGCTACTTCTCAGGGCAGCAAAGCGATCAAGTGGCTTGCACAGGACTTGCGGTTTTTCATTTGGTTTGAAAATGTGGGGCTGAGAAAAAAAGTTAAAAAAATAAAGGGCTTCAAGGCACAGGCTGCAACATGCAGATCTGGGATGAGATTTCTTCAGCCCTCCTGAGCGCAACTTTGGGACACATTGCCTTGGGATACAAGGAGACCATGGCACCCAGATGAGCTAACCCTCTGCCCCGTGGAGCTCTGCTGACTTCAGGGGGGGGTTTTCAAGTGTGCACAGAAGTTTTCTTGCCAGGAGCCTCCCATCAGACCCGTGCCATGGGAACCTGCTAGTTTTCTGGACCTAAGCCCCACGTTTCTCTGGCTTTTGGGAATCTCAGCTTTGAAAAGAACTATCTAGAACAGCTAAAAAAATAAGCAAACAAACTAAAAGTTTAAAATCATAGCACAGACTTCATATCGGACAGCCCCACGGCAGTCATTCCCTTCTGCAGGGGAATTACTTTGCTGTTATCCGAGTTTAAGCAGGAATTTAGCAGTCACCATCATCTCAACGAACAAACAGATGCACAAGGCAGTATCTACACATCACCCTGAAATCAACATCCTCATGCCAACTTCTTGACAATCTAATGAGAAAATCCTGAGGAAAACATGGAAATTCTTTTGACTTTAAGGACTGATTTCATGGGCAACTGAACAATAAGAAGACCAGCAAATCTATTTACTCTGGAAGCTCAGTTTCTGCAAAGTCATGACTGAAAGTCAAATCACATTTTGCACACAGTGCCTGGATCTGTAATCACGTGAAACAAATGCAACTTGGCTCCATGGTGAAGAAATTGGAGTTATTCATGGGTGCACATGTATACCTGGCTCCTCTAGCTACAGGTGCAAGGGTAACATGCTTGCAGTGGATCAAGATTAAAATATGTTGCAACAGTCTCTGTAACCCAGGCCAAATTTCAGCTCAATTTGGTGAGAATTTAATCATCTTGTTGGCAAGATTGAAAAGCACAATGTCAGATTGTAAAAGTCACCTACATTCATATGTAGATATTATTGTGTCTTTGGTTGCTTAAGAAGTCCTAAATTTCCGGGATAAATCAATTAAAAATAGTACTGTCATACAATAGACTTTCTGACATTAAACCATTAAAACTCATATTCTAAATCTGATAAAAGCCTTTTAACAGAACTTCAGTGTTATAAAAGTGGTTTTCTGTTAGCTAGCATACAATAATTATTCTCTTACCCTGTCTTTTGATACACAGCACAACTCTTAACCTGATCATCACCAATATAGAGCCCACAGAACAGCGGCATTTATGTAATTTTTTGAATATCTTACGTGTGTTGGAAGGTACAGGTCATACACAGATCCAGAGTCCACATCAATAGCGTGAAAGCCCACTACTGAGCCATATATGACTTTTAATCTTTGTCCATTTTCAACAGTCAGGTCAACTGACAGTGGTTTGTGATGAAGTGAGGTAAAGGACTGGAAAAGGAAAAATACACTATGTAATACAAGAAGGCTGTTGGTTTACAGATCTACATATATGATCTCCAGAATTTTAAAAACTCAAAAGTTAGACAGCTATTTTTGTTAACTAGTATGTTACATTTAACAAGCTAAGTACCCATCATCCCCTGAGCTGCAAGGAGAGCTGGATAATTTGTGTTTTGAAAAAAAAAAATCCAGATTCTAGAAAGGGACTAGGCGAAAATTAGGCTGAGTACCATTCATGTTCCATTTCTTCTTTTGAGGGAAATCAGCATCAACTTTGTGAACTCAAATGTACATTTTGTCACGGCACTGAAACAAGTTATTCACATCTAACGGAATCCTGACTGTGACAGTTTTATGCCTGCCATCTCCAATGTATGTCAAATGAGCTGCCTTTTCTTTAAAAGAATACTAATTTTAACTAAAAATGTTATACAAAGCAACAAAAAGCATAAGCAAAGAGTAGATGAGAGCCAGCGATACATCTGAACCAACGTGCAGTTTCACCTACCTTAAAAGCCATGAATTTGTGATAAGGCTTTGGAGCCCAGGCATAAACCTCCACTGAGTTTTTCAAAGCAATTACAAGGAATTTGATTCTCTCATATTTTACTGTAATACAAGAAGAACAATTCCTTAGACAGACACTTAAATCAAAGACGATCTCATCACATGAAATAATTTCAATGGACTACTTGTAGAGGTAGATATTATCCAGCAAGGGAGACTAATGTATTCTGGACATCGATGTTTAATATCACCAGTGACAATACCTTGACTGAAAACCTATAGTTCATTTTATTCTCAGTGAAGCCCAGATGACTGTTAACAAGATTTATATATTGCTTTTCACGGAAAAAAAATATACCTTACTAGTCAGAAAAAAGGGTCTTAACCCTGCAGCTAAGCCAACCCACTTTATTTTTTTAAGTGTGAACCCACACCAACACTGCTAATAAGCTACTTTTGGAGGAATGGTGGTTGTTGGCTGAACAATTTTGTTACACTCTGCAGGATGAATTTCCATTTCACTGTTCATGTGCGGAGTTAAATCTCCATGTGCTAGTGTGGGTGAAGGACTTCCGTGTTTCTGAGATGATTAAGCATTTAAGAGATAAGTAATTTCCCCAAGTTGGTTAAGGTCATGTTGGGGCCATCGAGAATAAATGAAGAATCATGCATTAAACATTAAGGCTTCTTTGTACTTTCACTCTGCCAGAAAAGCATTTGCTTTGGAAACAGAATGCCAGGGTATCACATCCCAACGCATTCACCCTTCATTTAATATTCAGTGTCTGCCTGGCAGGGACATTTAGAAGATGCAGGTGTTATGCTACTGAAGTAAGGGTTGTCTTCTGTGGAAGAAGGGCTTGATCTGCCCTTGCTGCTTACAAAAGGAGCAGTTCACACTTGCCCAAACATACAGCAGGGGCACAAAGAGTGGATAAGGATGGAGACTGATCAGGAAAATCTCACATAGGCAGAAAAAGCAAAAGAAAAAAGAAACTCCACCAAAATGCAGAACAGCACAGCCTTTTCCTCTTCTACCTGGACAAACGGATGTGAAACCAGAAGTCAAGGTACAGGAACATTCACCAACAGAAAAACAGCAGCAGCTCTTTTGCCCAAGAAGAGTGGCTTGTCATATGTAATCACAGAAGCTCCTTCCAAATGTTTGCCTAATTTTAGGATAGCTTTTTTTTAAAGAAACCCACACCACACCCAAAGATGAGCAACTGAAATGGCATATGTGGGTGCTTAGCTATAATCACAAAGAAAGTAACAACGCACATCTGTTTCACATTCTTTCTTGGATTTAACCCTTGCCACTTTTAAAGCCATGAGATATAAAAGCAAAAAAATATCAAGCAAGGTATTTGTGAGAGCCAGCCACCATCTCCTGCACTCCTGCATATAATATTTCTATCTGACCTTTTTTAAAAAGTGCTGCTTTCATATACCATCTTTCACCAAAGCAAAACTTGCGCTATACATCACACTCCCTCATGCAGTTAAATGACAGAAACTATCACAATACTGATGTTCATCTTCAAGAATGAACTGCCTGAAAGCCAAATAAAAGCAAGAAGGTTTTTTCAACTGCTGCAGTACCATTTGCAGCGTTTAAGTCTAAACAAAGGTATATTTAGGTCTTTTATGATCAACAGACAGGGATGAGCTGTAGCACATCCAATCTGATCTACCTATGGACATTCTACAAATACAATTTACTAGCACTTTACTAGTCCAGTTTCTTCACAGTTACTCAGGGCCAGGAGGGAAGCTGAATAGCATGAAGGTGGTCTAATTTATCAGTCTAATTAAAACCTTAAGTAACTACAGAGCTTTTAAACCACTGATGGAACAACAGACCAGGGCTGGCACTCCCTTCTTCCAGCTGTTACAGGGAATATCCGTAACATCATCCAGTAACCGCTGCAAGAAGAGATGCTACCTGGAATGACAGGGAGCAAAGCATCTGTCTTGTAAAACAAGGAGGTCTGAAAGAACTCAGATACTCAGCCCAATACAATCCTGAAACAGAGATGAAGAAAAATGCTGGTGTCACGAGATGCAACAGGATGATTAAGCAGCTCTTAAAGGAGAGAACAAAAAGTCCTTACCAACTTTGTAGTGTACGCAGCCTTCCAGATCACCCACAGACACCCAGCCTTGCCGCTTCTCCACCTCAGGATCATTGCGCAAAATTTTATTTCTCAGCCACGATAAGTAATATACTCTCAACTTATTCTTCTTCCCTAGAATTTAGAAAAAAGGACACACAAAACACTTTAACTCACTGAAGTACAAACTCTCCCACACGTAAAAAAAGACAGAGTTTTGTGACCTTGAGTACAGTGGGTCTTTGTGCCTCGTCAAGGTGAAAGAAGAGTTGAGCAGCCAAAAGAAGAGCCCCATGTGATGTTGACATGCAGGAGGGAACTGGGACATGAGCAATCCCATGGCATTTGGCCCATGTGCACTTACCTTATGACACACCCTTTATGAAAGATTTTCCCACCCGATTCAAATTCTTCCCTCAGGCCCAAGAACAGGTCTCTACAGATGCATGTATGATCAGGAACAATCACGCTATCTTGCATTTACTCTTTGATGTGAAGGAAGGAACACAGGTATGGCCTACAATGGCCATTTTGACTAAGTGACTCATTTAGTTCTAATTAACAGACAATCTTCATTACAAGGAGCTATTTTCTTTTCAATGCCTTTCCAGGTGAGAATTACTTTGTCATCTTTCATCTCAGTCAGTCTTTCTGTTGCTTTAGTTCGTAAGTACATACAGTCAACAGCAGCCTGGGATCTCAGGTTAGTCTAAAGAGAAGGACAGTGTCACCTACGCAACTGGAACTGGCACCATGGGACAAACAACTCTCACCATCGCCCACCACAGTGCATCTGGACTGGAGACAAGGAGCTCCCATTCCTTGCTGAACCTACATCTCTGACCTGGTTATGTGCCAACCATCCTTTGAGGCCACTCTGACCCATGGGAACAAAGGCCTCGGTACCTTGCGGGGCAAAGTCCAAGCTGTTTGTCAGCAAAGGCTGAAGACGCTGCTCCGTTTAATGTTACCGATGCTTTCGCAGTATAGATTGCTCTCATGTTACTGCTTAGATATTTTGTTGAACACAGAGTGAGGTTATTCAATGATATTTTAATAGAATTGCACTTGGACAGACGTTCACCCATCACAGAAACAAGCAAACAGACTGACAAACCATAACTTGCTGAGAACCAGTTCATTTTAAGATACGAAACACTGCATACTTCCCACAAACCATTTTACACATTAATCAGGTAATGAAATATCCCAAAGCCTCTCTGAAATGAGAACATAAATGTAAAAAATTCAAGAGAGTTCTCCTATTAACAAGAATAACTGTTCTGTGATTTTCTGTAAGAGGAAATTTCTCAACCTAGTTTATAACCTAATTCTTCTTTTTAATTGCTTCCAACCCCAATGCAGGTCAGATACTTTTAGACACTGAACTAACCTGATATAGTAATTAGCACATTGAGTCCTTCCAGAACATCCATTTGCTGGAATCGTCTCCTTGTAATCAGTGTATAAACTCTTCCTTGCCCACTTCTGTCCAGCAGCCACAATCCATTCTCTGTTCCCACCAGTAAATTCACTCCTGTTCATACATGGAAAAAAATATTGCATAAATCACCTAATGATTCAAAGGCCACTGAGTCATCATTGTTTTGAGAATGAATTCTTAATTAGTCTCACTTAATGGTACCTGATAATTTCTCTGTTGCTCTGTGGATGACCTCCCAGAAAGGCGAATACAAAAAAAGGATCTCACCATTACAGTTAAGCAGCAGAACACTTATATGCCCATGTAACTTGAAGGATGAGTAGTTTTGCTGAGGTCAATGTTGACTTAAACAAAAAAGAAATGCTTTGTGAACTCCAGCTTCTCAGGTGACCTTGTAAAGTGCCTGTGAGCGCTGCTAAGTCCCAGTCCAGCTCCACTCCACTGGCAACACAGGAGATCCAACTAAATGATCCTAAGGGTCTCTTATCAATTAAAAAAAATCTAAAATCTCTCTTTCCCCAAATACAACACTCAAAACACAGGAGGACCAAACTTGTGGGAAGAAGGGCTGCTGTTACGAGGAAGCGGAGTGCTTGTTTGAAAACGGTCTGTGTATTGCAAGAATGCCTTCAAATGCCAAATTAAAAGAGTGAATTCACCTGAAATCCAACTGCTCCCAAGGAAATGAAGGCTCCAGTGGGCTACTGACATCATAGGATGTCAAAAATTGTGTTTGGCTGGCATGACAGCTACATTTCCTAATCAGCAGGTTCTAAAGAAAGGTGTTCTGCTTTAACAAGCAACCTCCTCCACTGACAACGCTCTGATGGGTACCTGGTGCTCTTCAGCCTCAGCACACATCTAATTACAGACCTTGCCACACAGGTCTCTTCTTAATTTAAAAGCCTGGACTCCTACAATCATACATTACACAAAATCTGTGAAGTTGTAAACTGGATAATGCTTCATCTACTTCATTCATTTTCCATTCCAGGCTCAAAAAGCGGGGAGGAGTAAAAGGCTGTGTGAGTCCCATAGAACATGTCTGTTCTTCTGAACTAGAAACATGGTTAGAACAACGCAAGAGCTTAGCTAGTGTGAGACTGGGACAAGGTCTACAGTTGTTGAAAACTGGTCTGACTACACTCATCTTGGTTTTACACCACGTGAAACTGACCCTGTAAAAAGGATGATCCAGCAAGGTTCTGAGCAAGTGCTAACAGCAGGAACTAAGCAAGCCAAGCTTTTGGAAAGACTGACGCCTGACCCGCTTCGTGATTCTTGGAATACCTAACACATATGACAGCAAAAGGCTTCACATTTGGATTATTTCCACTGGGCTTAGTGTGATCAGCTGTACTCGTATCCAGCTAAGATGAGTAAGTATCATGAGTGCATAAGTTACTAAAACATTTGCAACTTTTGGCTTTTCCAACAAGTGCAGTTTCAATTTGGTGCCCGATCAAAACATTTTCTCATTCTGATGCACAAAATCCTTTGCAACTGTAAGTCATCCGTTTGCCATCTCCTACCAGGAAGGCAGTGCCACGCGAGTGATGCAGGAATCGACCCAGTGATCCACGCCAGGACTCTCTGACAGGAGAGGTGCGATACAACTGTGAAACCTGCCTGGCACGTACTGCCAGCCTCTCCTGCTGCTGCCTGCCCTCCACACACATGCCCGAGTACTTCTGAGCTTACCCCACAGAGCAGCGCAAAGGACCTCCGAGTTGAATTTCTTCTTGTATTTACGGATTTCTGGACTGTCGCTCTGTGGGCGGATATTGGTTGGGTTGACATTGACAACGGAGCCCTTCCTTGCATTTTCTCTCCTGACAGGCTCAGGTTTTGCGCTAGATGCTAGAATAAAAAAACAAATGGAATCATGAAAAATGTGTTTGGCTACATCTCACATTTTAGTTGTTTAGAGCAGGAAAGAAAGAAACCCCAGAGGGGTAAGGAAACACCTCAGAAGTATTACACAGCCAAAGAAAAAACCACACATCTGG